ATTATATGAGTAGAGTTGAGTTTTCCATTAAATTTCACAAATTTCACATATCTCTGTGAGAAAATTCTACTACCAGTCCTTCGTCACCTTAAACCAAATAGAGTGAATACACCTTATATAATTGATTTACTGGTAGTCTCGAAACTACACTTATTTACGCAAAATATTTTATTTTTAAGGATTGACTGCAGTTCAAACACAACCTAGATTTCATCAGCATTCTTAATGGCACTATAAACCGAATCGTAAGCGTAAAGTAGAGCCTTTACCACTCCCTTACGCATCCACACAAATACAGGTGAGACAGACAGGGTTGGGGCTGCAGTCCATCTATGAGACTACCTTTTGAGGGAGGAATGTAAATAAAATTCAGTGGCGACTTCTGGCAAACCAATATTATTCTGCTTAAAACTCCACTATATATCCTTAAATCAGCCTAAGTAGACTTGGGTAACTAAGTACTTATAGCTTTAATGCATACTCACACCGAATATCTTCTTTATTGGAATACAAATAGGATTTTCGGCTAACATCTTTTTAGGAATAAGCTAACCCAATGAGCTTGAATATTAAACTCTTGTTTCGTCATCTCTCTTTTAAGTGCTCGCATTTAACTGCTCCTGTTTGATTTATTAATTTAAAATATTGATAGAATTTAGAATAAGTGATTAAATGGGTTATTCAAATGCTTGTTAATGCAATGGGATGATCTAACCTAGTTTCGCAAAGGTGGTCTCTGATATTTATTTGTTATTTAGAAGCACTTATATTTCTATGTTTCTAGCTTACCGATAAATTAAGTTATACTAAATGTATATATGCGAGTAGAGGATTTCTATAAAATATTATAAATATAGCCAAGAATCAAATTATCCATCGTCTTCACTTAAGGCGTTTTTATTTGCCTCTAAGAGCTTCTATCCATAATTTTACATCTATAATTATACTATTCTCACGTGTTTCGACTCCAAAATGTTGTAGATGTTCATATGATTAAATCAGGCTTTCCGAAGACGTCTCCTCTGTAATTCAGTGCACCATGTCTGACCAAATCAAGTATACGGCAACAAGGTTTGAGGGTTGACACGCTAAAGACTGGGAAGTGATTCAATCATAAATTTGACATTATGAATAGAAGGCCTAAGAGATAAGGCGGAGTTGAGAGCTAGCTGAGTCAAAGTTCATTGACTTGATCATGGGCGAGAACCATTTAGTGGAGGCTTAAGTTTAATCTGGTTCATACGTAAAACGGCGATAGGCGAAACTATAGTGCTGAGTTGAGTCTACATCTTGCTGAAGAATCCAGACTAGGGGCCTGCTAGAGTTATGCGTGCTATCAGTGGCTTCATGTAAAGCTTGGGTAATATCTCTAGGATACGATGACTGTCTGAGTAAAATCACTAAACCATAAGGTTTAGAGACGAGTCTTACGGGACAAAATAACTACTTTGGCAAAACCTGGGTGAAGCAGCTTGCAAAATTAAGGGATCAAATTAAAATATATTTTCCATCACTAAACGTGGATAGTGATTGGAGCAGTCAACAGTGAGAATAGGCCTCAATAAATCAGTATAAAAGGCCACACCTGGACTACGTTAAGTTAAGCAATTACAAAATTTTAATAGTTATTGTAGCGATACGAGGATATGGGGTAGGTGGAAAGAATGGGACAAAAAGAGGGTTACCATAGTAATTAAGCAGATAGCTTGACAAGGGATAGAATTCACTTGTTTTACGAGTTATAATTGTGCTAAGACTGTCAAGTCCTAACGGTACCGACGAAACGTCTAGGAATATACCAAGTCTTCAGTCCATGGTTGGAAAGTATCATGGATGCTATGACAGACAACTCTGGGGAGGATACATTCGTCTAGATTTATCTGTCAGTGCGGTAGTATGGAAATAAGATGAAATCACTTCAGCTAACTTCTTTTGTACTTTTAAAGGTTGGTTGCATTCATATATCTCTTTTAGTAGGGCAGGCTCACTGTGACAATATTGTATGCGAGAATGCACGATTTTAGACTTTCCTGGGCTCCATATCTTAGTCTCTGTTGTTTAAATCTTGATAATGGTCAAGATGTGAAAGTACGTTCAAAGCCGGTTAAACTCGGACTCTTACGCGTATTATATTTATCATCGGCAAGTGAACCCTTATTTCTCCACAAAGCTTTCTCTCCCCCCTTATTTAATTGTATTATATTTTATAAACACTTAATACTTTCCTTGTGCAACTTAGTTCGGATAGATGCCAAATAGATGCCATATTTTTATCATATCTCTTGACCTATTTTCGAAATCGAGCCCTGGTAAGCAATTCTTTAAATTTCCCGATAAATTTGAATACAATTCGAAAGGGTAAATATCACCTAATTTAAAGCTCTATGATGTGATTCGAGAGACCTATTTTGGTGTGTACTCACAGGGCTGAGATACCCTTTAAATGAGACATCAGTAATTACATGAGAAAGTTGTTAAGCTTATTTTAATAATTTTAGGCTACTAGCGGTGATATTATAGATTAAGATGCAAATAGTGAAAATAAATCTAGATAACTTGATAATTATTTGAATTTTGATGTTTTAGTACCTTTTATTTCTTTTGGAGAGGCTAGTAGACGGGATTTGTAATTTGGTCTCATCGGAAGCTGTAGGAAGATTGCATTGGAGCCGTGATTGCAGATTTGTGTGAACAGACCTTAGGTGCACCACCTTGCGATCCCGATAAATCCTTGCTGAACATTCGTAATTAATGTGACATACATCTCCAGGCAGGGCATTCTGCTTAACTATAATTCACCAAAAAACGAAAGCAAGAAAGGGGAATTCTCCTTAAATATGGTATCCTGCTCTGATATTATTTGTCACATGACAGACGAAATCTCAGCAAGGATTCATCCAGAGCTCAGGGCGGTGTGCCGACGACCTATTTGCATATATCTACAATCACAGCTTTAAGACAATTCCACCATAGCTACCGATGACACCAAATTACAAATTACTTCCAATGACCTCCTTAAACGAAATGAAAGGTTCTCCATTTCCCACCTTTTAAGGGATTCTTTTAAACCCAGTTTTTATACATATTTAAAGTTTGTTCTGAATGATAATGATACATTGATTGGCCTTAGTTTCTCATTGTTTAATTGTGGTTTCTACTCGAAAGATGACTTATGGTAAAGTGTATTTTTACCACATTCAGCCGGCATCATGACCAGCAGCGTCAGTGAGTATTGCGTTCTCAGCACTATACTATAACTCGTCAAAAGAGGTAATTGAAATCCAGCTTTTGTCCAAC